AAAAAAAAACCAAAAAAAAATATGCTGGTTCTACAAAAATATTCACAATAACCTGCAAAAACCAACTTCAAGAATCATCCACATCTGCATTACCCACATGAGGGAACACAAACTAAAAAGCTCTAATATTACTAAAAACTCAGAAATTATGAACTGTTACAAAGAATTCCTCGGGTGCAAGGCTAGAAAGACTACCTGGCTTTATGTTTCTCCTCAGAGAGGTACRGCTGAGCTCTTGCAAACACCGGTCATAAGGACTGCAAATATATGTAAGTAAAGCAGATAAAGCACAAAACCTTTGGAACACAAYACTGCTATTAAGTCATCCACCTCTAACTCCCACACTGCAGGCCGGACTCCAGCTACAGSAGCTCCCATCATGCTGCAGCACCTGCAGGCAAAAGGGAATTTGCCACCATGAGGAAAGCTATGGGCTCATGTARATCCCGTAAAACGGCACAGGGAGCCACAGCCATCCTTCTCACTGAGCTGCTTCTCATTTGCTATAAGGGCCARCTAACAGTAGATGTGGCTGCTTTAAGTGAAAAATTTGTTTTGGACATGAAAGAGAGCAGTTTTTCATTTTTTTATTCAGAGTCTATTATCTGCATATGTCCATGGAACTGTAAGAAAAATAAACCCTAAAGACATTCTTAACTTAGTCCATATTATGCCAACAAATTCAAGCAAATAATGCCATTTAAGTTAATTACAGGAAACTTCAAGGAAACTGAAATAGTTTCAGGTTCTCCCATGATACTGTCAAGATCTTTGGAGTTACATGTTCAATACAATAACTAGGTGCTTAAAAGGCTTGTCAGCTACTTCTGTGTTTTATTCCACATACTAAAAAGGTTTGCTGAAGCAATTAAAAAAAAAAAAAAAAACAAAAAAAAACAAAACAAACAGGAACCAATAATCAGGTTTCTTTTACATAGAAAAGCTTGGAGAGAAAAACAAAAACTCTTAAGCCATTTAATACCCAAATGTTAGGCACATTAGAGTTATTCTAGGTGTTCACAAATTTGCACCTCGCTCTCAGACCACAAACACAGAGAGTGTGAACAAGGAGCATCTCGGGCAAAGGAAAGGCAGGCAGAAGAAACAACAGAGCAGCAGAGGGTGTCTTGCACAGAGAGCTCCTCCCGGGACCCCTCACCCAGGCTGAGAGCACAAAACACCAGCACTTTCCCTGCACTGCACCTGAGGGAAGCAGCAGCAGYGTCTGCAGGAAAGTGCCCCTAAGTTTCACAGCCAATATTTCACATGCATTTTTTTAGCTCTTGCCCAGTTAACAATGTATTGATTTAACACAGAAAGGCACAGGCCTCTCCCTCCTCTTCGCATGCTGATTMGTTTTTCTAATGTGGTAGTGCAAASCTGAAAAARGAGATTTTTTTT